CCTAACTCCCCTCTATCATCAACCAACATATGTGTCGTTATAAGTTAGACATTCAATTGGTTAATGGAAGTCTCAATAATAATTTTATCTTCAATAAGAAGATGTAAGTTTTATATCTTTCTTTTGCATAGTATTTTCAATATTAAAATTTTAGTTCATTTGACTGTAATTATGGTTTCATCAGATCATAGATTGAGGCACATCTTGGTGGGGTTTGTAGAGGAATGAACTATGGTACCACCCACTATGATACACGATATGGCATGATTTTCACTAATCCAACAAGTGCTTTCTATGGTTATATTTTTGAAGCACTTGCGATTAGGTGTGGCATGTGGTGGTGTGTATGCATCGGTGTGCAACTGTGTGTCATCCTTGTAATTGAAAACAATGGTCCTTTATTATGGTATGATTTCTACTTCAGTTCATTGACAAAGAGATGCCAAAATGCTTCCAAATATCTGGATTCTTTCTTAACTTATGAAGACATAGAGGCTACAATTCAACCAACAAGTAGCAGTGATCCACCTACTTCTCTCATGACTAGGGCTGGATATCGAGCCAGCTCGGCTCGTTATGGCTCGGCTCATTATAGCTCGGCTCGTTATGACTCGGCTTGTTATGGCTCGTTATATAAACGAGCCAGAAGACTAGCTCGGCTCGGCTCGTTAGCAAGCTCGAGCTAGCTCGTTTGGCTCGCGAGCCAAAGCATAAAAACACAGTACATAGAGATTATAACCGCAAGTTAGCAACAAACACATCACATGCATTGTCAAAATGGAATAAACAAAATACATATGAATTTTGGACTCGTCTCGCATGAACATGATGCCGTGGGGTAGGTCGGTGGGGTGACTGGATGGGGCCATGGGGTCTATTGGTCTAGGGTTTTAGTGTTTAATCGTGTTGGGCCATAGACAGAGGAATATATGGTCTGCTTTAATTTGTATTGGACTAAGCCGAGAGATATATGGGCCGATTGTAGTTGTTGTCATGTCAATTATCTTGGCTTGTTTTGGCTCGCGAGCAGCTCGCAAGCTGGCTCGAGCTGGCTTGTTAATTAATCGAGCTGGCTCGTTAATTAAAAATTCAAACGAGCTGAGCTCGAGCCGAGCCACTAACGAGCGAGTCGAGCGAGCTAGTGAGTTACGAGTTTTTCGTCCAGGCCTACTCATGACCTAGCTTCCATACAAAATATTTATGCCACAAACAAGAAAGCCGCCGTATCTATTTGTTATGGATTTGCCATCTGGTCTATCACATGTACTTTGTTTTTATTGAAGTTAGTATGGGAGACCCCTACCCATTTTCTTCATTTTTACTTTTTCGCCATCTTACTCAAACATTTTTTGTAAACTTAGAACAAGATTATCTTTAACAACTAAATTCTAGGAATGCACGCCCTTTAAGATTTTAAGAACACAGTTCCATATCAATAATTATTTGCTTCAAGGCAAAGTAATGGTGTTTTGGTTTCACTTTTAGGAGTATACAAGATGAAAAATGTCTCTTGTTCACAAAATATAGGTGGCCTGCATGAAAGTTAGTTGATGCTTTTTGTGATGGTCTTGCATGATGTCTTCAACATACATTACTAAAATGAGAAGTAAAGGAATCTCATGATTACTACAGCCACCATGACTCAACATCACAAAGTAGAAGATGTATTATCAATCCTTGCATGACCTAGGAAGAGATAAAGGAAATGACAAGAAAGCACATGTTTACACCACAAACATACATCCATAGTAATAAAGCCAAATAACAATGTAAGCTTTTCTCCTCAAATGACTAAAAAGATAAAGCAAATGAGTAGAAAGCACACCTTTACACCACAAACAAACATCCACATTAATAGAGCCAAATAACAAGATAACCTTTTGTCCTCAAATGACTAAAAAGATAAAGAAAGTGACTAGAAAGCACACCTTTACAACACAAACAAACATCCATAGTAATAGAGCCAAATAACAAGTTAACCTTCTCCCCTAAAATGACAAGATACACTTGTTGATGGTCACTAACACCCATTTTGACCATCAACATTCCACCCGAAACCAAGGTAAAACAACATCACAAGTGCCATTATATGTTTATAATTCACCTAGTTCCACTTGTACTTGGGAAAATTATTTGTATGTAGGAATTTTCATAAAAATGGACAAATAAGGTGCAAAGGAGGCAAGTGGACATGGCAGGTGGCCGTGGGCCCACTTGGTGGGGTCGGTCGACGCCACATGGCATCGCCCAACGCCCCACCTGGCCTGCCACGTCACTGATTCGCATGACATGCAAGGTGGCACCCCTAGGAGTCCTCTCCAACATTGATCTATGCCGATTTGATCCAAAGGTGAAAGTTGAGCTTCCTTGGATCCATGGATCCACTGTCATACACTTGAGGGGACAAACCGACCTAAAAACCGTCTTACCTGCCAAAGCAACTAACCTACCTGCATGCAACCGCCATCTATAGGGCATCCATCGCCGTTGGATGCAAAGGCAGTGCAGGGGACGGTCGGCCGACGCCCCCTTGCCTCTCCACCGCCTCATTGCTACCTACAAGTACCCCCCTGCACTCTACACACTATAAAAGGGGCAGTGGTGCTCGGTGAAGATCATCCCTCAAGCATTCCAAGCTCTCCAAAAGCTCTCAAGTAGTAGCTTTAGAAGTAGTGCTAGCTAGTAGTGATAGAGTTAGAGCGGAGCTCACCTCAAAGTTCGGAAGAGTCTTCTGGTCTGGTATAGCTCCTTTTTAATCTTTTATTTAGCATTTACTTTATTTAGTACTTTACTTTATCAAGTACTTTATTCAGTAATATAGCTTTGCCTAGTTCAAGTCCTGTCTTGCTCTTGTTCATCATTAGTGAGCTTAGGTTCTTGTTCTTTGGCATTAGCATCATAGTTATCTTAGTGTTTAGTTCGTTCATCGTTAGTACTTGTTCTACCGTCTAGTTAGAGTGCTTCGATGTCATTTCATCGGAGCTCGGATCGAAGTAGCGAGTTTATAGATTAAGCGTGGTGCTTAGGCTATATCTTGCCTGTAGGTACGGTTAGATCCCTGGATAGATTGTGGTAGTTGGCAGGTGGTGACAGCCCTGTCCTTGCTCTGTATTCCACCATGTTAGGTCTAGTTATTAAAACGTAGGGCTCGTTGTGCTTTGTGACTGATTGAATCAAGGGTAGGTATGCCCCTCATACTAAGGACATTCTCGCTATCATTAATTTACCTTTGTTGCTTAAGATTAATTGCTCTTCTCTTCCACTCAGCTACCGCTGCTTGTTGTGATATACCCCTTTATCTTTTTTTGTCCATCATCCATACTGCCTCCATCAACCCCGTGTTGCTAAACACACCTACCTAGCCTACCTAACCATAGTTTCCAAACATGCCCATCCACCTTCCTTTGGGAAAAATATAATTTCGACACTTGATTCTCACCAAGCGAAGTGCTACATGATAGTTTTGTGCGTTTGTGGAATCCCCTTTCCTATATACACACATACAAACCATCAACAACACACACGTTTACACCACAAACAAACATCCTTAGTAATAGAGCCAAACAACAAGGTAACCTTTATCCTCAAATGACTAGAAAGATAAAGAAAATGACATGAAAGTGTACCTTTACACAAAAACATGCACCCATTGCAATAGTGCCCAGAAAAAAGGTAAGCTTTTGAGAGTGTCTAGTAGGTTGCATGAAAGTCGGCTTCATCTCGATCCAAACATTCCACAAGCATCTTAGTTCTCATACAAAAGTCCATAAGTAATATCTAGTAGAACCAGAAAGTTATTTGATATTACTTTAACAAAGAAACGATCAATAAATAAGCATGAAACATGGAAAATGACAAACCAACTATAGCTAGAGGATAGAAAGGAAAGGTGCATGGATTGCATCATGCATGAAAGCATTGATAAAACAGTGGAAAAGATGCTTATAGCTACAAAGGATAGAAAAAACAAGATATCAATCAACAAGTAACAACCTTATAATTTATTAGTTTTTCATATTTTATTTCCCACGAAAAGGTGACCCCTAGGTTTGCTATAAAACCCATTGTATGTGGTGCATATCCTCATCAATCACCAATTGCGCTTTTTGGAGTTTTAGCTATTATGTGCTTTCAGAGTTCTAATCAATTAAGGTACAACTTCTACATTATAATTCTTGAAATTAGTTTATATACGGGCATGTTTCTATGTATATATGTACTTTGAGAAACTATGTTGTTTTCCAAAGCTTGGTAGGAGAATAGAACTAATAAATTGTTGCGTCAACCAATAGTTCATTTTTTATCATTATTACAAATATGAAGAGTAAGCAATAACTATATGAGTGCTTTCTCTTTCTAGGTGAATCTATCAAGCCCAAACATGAAAGAAATGGATCGTCCAATTAACATTCGTACATCACCAAGGACGTCGTTGTTGTTATTTGAGCAACAAATGATAGAAGAATTTTGGAGGAAGAAACAAGAAGAAATTGAGGTGATTGAGGACTTTGGAGAGCGCACAATCCCCATGACCTGACTCAAAAAAGGTCATTTGTGCTGAGAAGGGTAAAATGACGATGATGCTTGACACCCCAACCTTCATGACAAAGGCATGTGAGATATCTGTGCAGGAACTTTCAGTCTGTGCTTGGATGTGTGCGTGTTCCCACAATCGTAGCATCATATTGGACTCTGATATTGCTGAGGCAATTGCCTCCATTGAGTCCTATGATTTTCTAAATGGTGTTCTATGCACACATCTTGAAAAGTACAAGTCTGATCCTTGTCTACAATCTACTAATAATCCTCATCACAATAGGTTTATAGATTAGTCATCAACATCCCTCCAACCTCCATCTAATCAGTACCAAATGACACAAATTATTTCTCAATCTACTAGATATAATCCCTTTCTTTGCATTCCTCCACCTTTGCCACCAACTAATGCTAATCCAATGCATTTACCCTTGCCACTTCCACCACAAAGAGCATGCCCCATAATGGCAACCCCAATAACACCTACACCAATTGTGAGTGGATCATTCCCAACTATGACATACATAACCAAGGATCTACGGTTCTTCAGGAAATTCATTAACAACAATGATGCTACTTTAGATGTTATGACTCCTCAACAGTTACTTCTAGAACCACCACCCAATATTCCAAATAACTGCTACATGAGTACCATTGCTTCTACTGATACATATTGTGTTGGTAGTGCTAGCACTAGTAATTTTGTTGCTCAAGATGGTGACATGACATTCCATTTCCCTCATGTTCCTCTAAAGCCTTTTCAATTATCATCCTCTTCAACAATGGATAGTATTGTTTGCCCTATATATACTGATATCGCTGAATTGAATCATACCAAACTGGATGTTACACATATTGGAAATTCCACACGTGACATTAATCTAATCCTGAAGCTACTTTCAATGTCGATGATGGTGAACAAAAACATATGGGAGATGAAACCACTGCTGTCAATCATATGAATGTTGCGCATGGAGAGTTAGATGCAGAAGTTGTTACTACTACTAATGTGGGGGCCGATGACAACAATATAAATTCAGATGAAATTGAAATGGCCAGCGATTCCATGCTGATGGTGTTTTGGAAAGACGTAATGATGGAAGAAGGCCCGACACCTTTGCCAGCCACTGTCTCAACATTGTCATTTCAGCCTGTTCGTTTGGCTGTGGCTTGTCGTAAACGATCGTAAATTTCCAGCCGAAACAGTATTTTTCTCTCACACAAACCAGCCAGCAGTAGTTCTTCATGAACCAGCAACGATACGAACCAGCCAACCGAACAGGCTAATGATTCATATCTTCTTGATGACATCATGTATGATACAAGTACCGATGGAAGGCATAACTAGGATCGATTAAAGGCAGGAGAAGGAAGCAGGAGCATATATATGTACTGACAAATGTTTTCTATTTTTATATGTTTGTGTCATATATGGCTTCCCTAATAAATACAAATACACTTGCACTTTATCTAATTTGAGCAATCAATTTTGAGCAAGAGAGAGAAGAGGACACACTAGAGATAAGGTCTGCTTCGTTGAGAGACTCTAACTCAACATGCACATAGACAAACTAGTTGTCGTTGAACCTTGTGAAAATAGGCCAGTATGGCCGAGACAGCGAATTTTGTTGGTATAAATCTGCCATGGGCTCCTGAAATTTTGGCCCAAACCTATCCGGGGTGTTGGGTTGGGTTTTTTTTTTCCTTCCTGTGGTATGTTGGGTTTTTCTGAGTTAGGTCAGCTTTCGGTCATCTACTCCAATGGCTGGCGTGGGTTAAAACCATAGCTTGAGTTCACTCGGAGCATTTGTCCGACGCGTTTGGGTTCCGCTTCTGCCGCGTAGCGCCTAGCGCGTATCGGCCGCGGCTCCGGTTACGCACGCGGAACGGCGGCAGGGTACCATCAGGTTGACGTGGTCACGTGGATCCTTCCCAGTCCGCACAAACATCCTTCCCAGTCCTCTTCTCCAATGCGAAAGCGGAGACAAAAGCGACCAGTGTAGTGGTGGAAGCGGTTGGGTGTTTGCTGCGACGCGGTTGTTTGTTTGTCATCATGTGCCAAGCAAGGTCAAGGTCAATTGATAATTCTGTCATGGACCCAAATTTGTGTAAGCAGAGTTTCAGCTAAAACAGTGCTAGCTAGATTCATATCTGAATCACACCCTCCTCTTTCTGGTTGCTAAAATGAACACAGCTTTCATGCTAAAAATGTTTCTTTTCCTCCGCAGACAAGCTAGTCTATCGAAAAAGTGAAGTGCGGCCCCGTTCGGCTTGCAGAAACTTGGCTGAAAAACACTGTTTTGGCTGAAATATTATGAGAGAAAAACACTGTTCCAGCTGAAAAAAGAAGCCGAACAAGCCGAATTTAAGGTAAGCCGAACGGGGCCTAGCCTCCAACGGTTTTGCGTCTTTGAAAATGCGTTTTTCTGTTGCATTAGTATTAGTCTTCTATTAATTGCTATAGTTTTTTTTTCTTAAATACGCAAAAGATTTACATATCATTGTATTAAGAAGAAGAGTTTAAACATACAGACAACGCGCCTCTTGAGCGCCGAAGAGATTGACCTAAAACAGCCGTAGCTGGACCGTCCTAGCAATAGACAACACTCAAATTAATTGCTATAGTCATGTGTTACTCTTGAAAACTGTTTGACTGTTCGCTTGAACTTATCGGCCTGGCTTATTAGCCATGGTACAGTATTTTCTGTCACGACAAATCGGTAAACAGTACCTTTTAGATAAGACTATAGATTCGGCAAGTCGCTTGAACCCAAACAATGACTATTCATTTGGTCTCCATTACCATCTATACTAAAGGTCCATGCACATCATAAGTATATATATAATATACCTCAAAAAAAGTATATATATAATAGTTTCCCATTCAGACAACTCCGTCCCCAGCGTTGCAACCAAAGTTGTCCTGCGAGGCAAATGCATTCTAAAATTTTTAAAACAACTTAAGTGAACACTCAAATAATGTGTGTATCCATAGATTAAACCTAATTAAGGACCTGTTCGGTTATGTGGGAATTCCCAGACGCTCTGTTCCTTCGTTGATTTATAGCAGCGGAACAATTCCAGGCTTGAAACGGTCCGGGACGGGCTAACCGAACAAGCCCTAAGTAGTTTTCTCCTCAAATTATGGTTTTCTTTTTAATAAACTTTATCAAAAATCAACATGGGCATCACATAGAATATATTTTAGTATAAATTTTAGAAGTTATAACGCACTATATTTCAGAACAAAGAATGTGTAAGCTTGCTCACTCATTTTTTTGAAAGATAGTTGTCATTGGCTTATAATAATAAGGAAAGAAATAGAGTTAGTGCGAGGAGCGTCAATTACATAGCAGACTGCTAGTAGGTGGATACACTTATTTTCTTATTAGCTACTCCCTCCGTCTCAGAAAGAATGACATTATGGGGTGTGTGCCTATCAAGCTTTCTTAAGTTAGATTGAATTTATAGAAAATACTAGTAACATTTGTATCTTCAAATATATTTTATAACTTATCTAATGATACTAATTATGCACTATAAATATTAAGGGTCTTTTACTTGTATGGCATTAAAAAAGATGGTCTAATCGTCGATGTCCCAAAAAGTTCGATCTATCGTCAGTGTCCAAGCTTGAAAAACTTTTCTCTCTCACGCCATTCTGTCTATTTGCAGCACTAACAGTATGAAATGTGGGTGGCAAAAGACTTGAATGCCCCTGGAACTTTTGTTTCTCATGTGCCACTGCCTGCTGGGCGGCAACCTGATGGCTCTTGAACCGGGAAGGGGCCAAGGGGGCAGCGGGCACCTGCCTTTGCCGTCGGGCGGTCCAGCCGTCTAGGCGTCACGACTCCTGAGAGCCACTGCCTCTATATAAGCGCCACCACCGCGGCACCACACCCCCAACGGCCCTTGCGTTTCAGACGCCGCAACGAAATCCAAGCGCTATCCAGCTCGGCGCCTCTCGCTCGTCCACCACCATGGATCCGACCAGGCAAGGCCGCGACCCCTCCGGCCGCGGCGCCTACTACAACCCAGCGCAGTTTCCTGACCTCCCCTCCTCCTCCTCGTGGCGACAGCCACGGCAGCCTCTCCTTCTGGAGCAGGCCACGCCGCCGCTGCAGATGAACCCGCGGCCGCATCAGGGTGGCGACATCGGGGACCAGAGCTCCACGCGCGTCGGCATCCCTACCGACGGCAACATCTCAAGCTACGACGCGCGCTCCTCAACTTCCCCATGCCCGGCACCCAAACCTCGGTGCCGCACCGGCCGTCGACGCCGAACTTCATCAGCAGCCAGAGGCAGTACCTGCCTCAGCATGGCTCCGCCGCTCTCTTCTCCGCGCTCGGGTACGACGGCGTCTTCAACCCGCACGCCTCCGTCTATCGTCCCTGGGCGGCAGCGGCAGTCTGCGCTCGGCCCGCCGCCGCCCCCGGCTTCGCCGCGCGGGGCGGCAACTCCACCAGCAACGACCCGAACACCTCCGCCGGTGTGATCGGTGCGCGTCGGGGCCCAGTGGCTGGCGCTCCAAACCATTAGGCGCTTCAGGATGTCGAGACGAACCCGGCCCTTGCGACGAACCCGGCGAGCTCGGATTGGTTGGCCTTCCTGCTCGATCAAGACAACGGCGAGCTCAGAGCTCATCTGTGTGTGTTTGCTTTGCTGTTGTTTTGCTTTTGCACGGTGCAGGGAGATAGCTCTGAGGGTGCTCGTCAGGGTGGCGGCGGGAACTTCCCCGAAGTACTGCAGCAGCTATTCAGGTGCCTAATCGAGGGATGGATGATGGAACAGAGCAAGGGCCCGGAACTACCTGAGCATTTCGTCGCCACGTTGCCTTACAGCTGTTGCTCGGTATGTAATGTAGCTACCCACAACAGCCCTGGAGGACGACATACGTATTGCTACTGATGGCGTTTTTCTGAGGAACTTCCGTTTAGATTTTCACCCGTGAGCTCGCTGTCCCCCGCTTCCGCGACATGGCCACGTCCTATTTTAGGGGGATGAGCGTGCTGCTATGCCTGGAGAACGCGACGAAGCATGAGCTCGGCATTGATCTCGAGGACACCATCTTGACCCATGTCGTTGAGATCTCCAAGAAACAATACGGGTGAGAGCTAAGCATATACCATTACAACATGAGTTCATTCACTGCGTGGTTCTTCTCGATCGTCACTCCTAACGTTCGTTCTCAATCTGGAGAAACTAACGGGCGGGCCGGGAAACCTCCTTCCGGCCGGCATTCGCATGCCGCAGCAGCGTCTTCTTGCAGGAACTCTTCAAGAGAAGCCACCACGATCAGCTCGAGGACCGCATTAGGGCGCTCATCGTGGACGATCTCGTGGCGTGGTCCACGGACACATACGGGCACTTCGTGGTACAGGCGTGCTTTCGCCCCCGCGCTAGTCCGTCTCCGCTGCCTCCGTTGCAGCGCGGGCTCGAAGCGTTCTTGCGCCTGCCCGCCGAGCGGCTCCGAGAGTTGGTGATGGACTGCAATGCCTACCACGTCCTCGGCTCGCTGCTCCAAACCAGCGTAGACGTAAGTATTCGCCTATCCTTCCTGTCACGCCAACAGCAGCACGGAGCGGAACGTGCCATGCAGCACGGAGCGGCGTCGGCGGAGGCAATGCAGCATGCAGAGCGGATCTTGGGGATGCCGCGGACGAGACGGATGCTGAACTCCGTCGTCCGGCGGGTGATCGACAAGAGCAAGCCGTAGCTATTTTGCACTAGTAGTCGATGATTTGCTCCGCTGAGTCAGAGCGCGCCACCATGCCTTAGATTGTACTCCGACTGCGAATTGTGTGTTTGACTTTGATTGATTGGCATTGCTTGCTGACGTACACGGCCAAATGTCTCTGGTTTCTCTGTACAATGCTACGGGTAACTACTGTACATCTCTAAACATTTCGTACAGTTTAGGCTTGTGTAGTACGTACTACTACTACTCCGTAGCCAGCATCT